AAGCCACAATTACATTTCTGGGCAGGAATACATAATTACTTCATTAGGTCTTTCATAATTGGTAAAGATGCCAAAAGATGAAGAAAAATGTTGACAAAATCTATCAAGTACTGTAATTTTTCTTCATATGGCCTTATTTTATTTTCTTTCCATTGGACCACAGACTGAAAGCCACTGATCTGAGCTCCCATTTTAAACATTTAACAATTCCTCACTTAATCTCTTCTACTAAGAGTCTATGCCCTCACTTGCCCCGCAGACATTCCCATTCCACACCTTTAAATTGTAAGGCACCTGAAGCAGCCTAGGTCATATGTAAGCATGGATATTCTTGATAGGGATGAAAGAGGAAATAGCAATTAAATGTGTTACGAAATGCTCTGAAAAACACATGCACCGAGCATTGATCTCATCTTTTTTATTTTAAATAATTCAACTGAAGATAAAGAAATACCCTTTGATTTACATGAAATAGCTAGTAAAAAAACTGGTCAGGAATTTCCAAGATACATAGCCAGAAGTGCGAAATTTTGTCTAGGATTTTATGTAAATATTGGACCTATGAAAAAGAGTTTTCAGTGTGTGCTTTCAGTCAAAACACCTCTTTCCCAATTCTAGCACCCTCCATGCCCACTCCTACTCCACTAAATTTAACCAATCAAACTTAAGTAACTATCAAGCACTTCATTAAAAGAAGTTTGTATTATGATAATGTCCCCTTAATGTTAAACACACACTTTATTGTTCATGCAGGAAAGGGTGATGGTTACAGGCTTAACAATACCCGAATTTGACTAGTAAAGTCAAAGTACTAGAACAACCACTGGAAATTTAAAAAAAAAAACATGAAAAGAATATTATTGTACAACCAATATAAAATACTCATCTGTCTTAAAGAAGAGACCTCTATTGAGATACCAAAAGGAGATTGTTTAAAATACAATATATGAGATCTGAAGGCCAGTGAAAGTCCTCACCAAGTTAAGAAAATCTGGCATTCATGTGACTTCAATAGTACATGTGACTTCAATAGTGCACGAGTACATGCACAAAAGGAAGTGCATTCCAGAGTGTGCATGGCTCTTTTGCTCAAATCAGGAGAAAAGGAACAGAAAAGAGTGAACAATTCCTTAAAAACTCTAAACAAGAAAAGGAGAGTGGCTTTCCCTTGACCAACTTCCAACAATTAACAGTGTGTTTTTCATTAAATGGGAATAGATGAAGTTCTGAGGACCTAAGGATTCATTAGATTACTAAAAAGCAGCAGGTTTTAGCCAAAACCACAGGTTGCTTCCCTGAAATATTCTATCATATCTAGAAATCTCTGACATCTTGGAATTTTTAATGAATATTCCTAATATCTTAACTTTTAAATGTCATAATTTTTATTAACAATGAAATATACATTTTAAGGAGGCAAAAGAGTACAGTGGCTAAAAGCCCAGGCCCACTTAGTCACCTATTGATTCAATTTCTCACCACAGACAGAAACAAAATACACGAATTACTATTACCATACTACATAGGAATTTCCATAAGTTTTTTTAATATCAAAAAGAAAGTAAAGTGTTTTCTCTCCTTAAACATGACCTTTCCAGACACTCTAAGGCATTTAACTTGGGAGCAGGAAAATACATGAGCCTAGATTAATCTTTACCAATTTCCACTGCACTGTTTATAATCCAAAGCCACCTTTTAAAAACGTATAGGTCACTGCTTATATTAAAGTGACAAAAAATGAAATTAAATATTTCTTATCAATAGTGATCCTCTATTGCATTGTCAGAGATGGAATTCCAAATCACAGCTCAAGCTTTTAGTCAAATTGACAATTACAATGCAAATACTCAAGCTCTGGTTTCTCAAGAATAGGGGTGGGAAGCAATCTTCTCCTCCCTCTTTCTTTGTAATTTTGTGCATTCTGCAAAGAGAAGAAAATAAGTATGGAAAATTTCTCTAATTTTCTCTTGCAAAAAAGAACAATTGTCTCTTCAGTACTATTCTTATGCTCACCAGATGTAATTTGCTTTGAGAACAAATGTATAAAAATCAAGGTTAAAAAAAAAGGCTACCCACATGCTGTATCTAATTATTCAACAAAGTATCCTCTTCAAAGTAATTACCAACCAACAAGAGTATGCCTCCTTTTGTGAAATGGAAGAAAATGGAATTTTAGAAAACAAAAGCAGATTTTTCCATCAGCTTGCATTAAATTTCAGGGTTGCAATTTTTGTTCCTAATTTAAATTAGCAATATCTCCTAATACTTAAAAAAACTGTCAATGAAGAAAGGTTAGTGATCTATAAGGATATGTAAGTGTATTTTTAGAACTTTGAGAGAAATTATTTCAAAAATGAAAAAAATTTTCCCTTTGATTTTAATCTTTCGGTTTTCCTATTGTTTCTACAATAATTTTATACTTTATGTGTAGATCTAAGAAACATTTAAAGGGAATTCCAACAAATTAATTTTCTAAATGATAGTAATGAAATATAACCAATGTAATAAGAGTCCATGAGTGCATACAATGAGAAGTTCTTCCTTACAGTAGGATTCCATATATGTAGAAAGAATGAAGGAATCAAAAAAAAAAAAAAGTACCATTTGCTACCATTTATATTAATAATTGTTTCAGGTAAGAATCAACAATAGATGTGAAAATTAGTGGGTAAAATATGACAGAAACAGGATATTTTCAAGTCTCAAAGAGTCTCCTCATGAAATAAACAATTAGAAAGGAATAATAGTAACTTTACAGTTGGAGAAGTCTGGTCGGTTACACCATAACCAAGTGTTCAAGTTTTTACCAGTAATGACTGCTGATACGATACCATGGGGAGGACGCAATACCAATTATCTGGGTTTCCTGCCAAAAGTCCATAATCTGAATCTAATCATGAGAAAACAGTGACAAATCCAAAATAAAAGCCATTCCACCAAATAAACTGCTAGCACCCTAAAAAGTTGTCATTCATGATGACTGAAAAACTGTTTTAGATTAAAGAATACTAAAAAGATATGACAACTAAATGCTATGCGTGAACCTACATTTTACCCTAAACCCGAAGGACGCAATTGTAGCAAAATTTGAATAAGATGAAAGTATTATATTGATGTTAATTTCCTGATTTTGGTCATTGTGCTCTGATTATACCACATTATTTAGATGTAAAAGTATTTATGTCATGTCTGCAACTTACTCAAAAAAAATTCAGAAAAAAATACATATATATGGATGTGTACAGAAAAAATGATAAAGTCTGATAAAATATGACTAATGAGGGAATCTTATATAAAAGGTTATAGAGAAATTCTTTGTTCTAATTTTCAACTTTATCATAAGTCTGAAATTTCAAAATAAAAAAAATACCTAAAGGGTAACCATTCTCTGTTTTGAATTGGTTTGATGATAATCTAATTCAGGAGCTGGCAAACTTTTTCTGTAAAGAGCCAGACTGTCGATACTTTGGGCCTTGTGGGCCATATAGTCACTTTCACAACCACTTAATTCTGCCACTGTGTCACATAAGCACTCACAGACAATATGTAAATGAATAAGAGTGGCCATGTTCCAATAAAACTTTATTTACAAAAAGAGACAGTGGGCCAGATTCAATCTGTAGCCCATAGTTTGATGACCCCTGGAAGCCGATTATCCAACATCTGGTCCATGCCCAGAAAAATGAATCAGAGTATACTTTCAGTAAATGTTTTCTGAGTACATGCCAGACACTATGTTAGGAGCCTTACTGGCATTAACTCATTTATCGTCTCACTAATCTGATTAGGTAGATGCTATTATTATTGCCATTTTCCACAGAGGAAACTATTGCCTAGAGAAGTTAAGGAAGTTGCCCGAGGTTACACAAAGTATGAAACCAGGTAGGTCTAATTCTGTACACAGACCTATAACCAATATGCTATATTTCTCATATGAATTATACTGTCACAGGAATTATAACCACTTTAACATGGCTAAATAACTATCCAAATTCAACATTTACATCCCAAGAAAGTATTTCTCACAAACCTCCTGCAGCTGCAAGGACATAAGTCCCAGCTGATCCTGACGTCTTTCTACCAGCTCTCTTTCTGTGCGCATCTCTCTTTCTATTTCCTGAAGCCGCTGCTCCACCCGATCTGAAACCTAAATCGGAATAAAGAGAAACCATGACATTATAGAGCTTGTAAGCAAAAAAGAGATTAAATTGAGGAGATAGTTTATACCAGATATACTACTGCTCAAAGCATTTAATATTGGCTTGTTTGTAGAGCACTTTCTAATGACACTTACAAAACAGCTGAAAAAATTAACTGAAAGTTACAAAAGAAAATAATCATTAGTCTCCAAATAATCCACACCTGGATCTCAATAATGACCTTGAATTTTTTAAAGTACAATATAATAATTCAATAGAATAGCGTTAAAAGTGATACACTAGAGAAGAGTGCCCTCTGGTGAGTTAAAAGGAAAATGCCAATTTTGCCAAAAGTTGCATTTATTACCCAATTAATGATAAACTGTTCTATCTAATTAGTTCTTTTTCATTTTTATTATCCATGTGCATGATCTGCCTCATCAGGTATTTGTGTTTATGTGCAGTAAATAATTAGAAGGGCTTTATCTTAGCTTGTCAATCTTTTCTACTGTGATCTACTAAAAATAAATGAGCTGTAAAAGATCAAAAACTAAAGTCAAACTCAAAAATGTTTAATTGGGACTGTCTAGAATAAACATGAAAGAATTTCTCTCTCTGACACAAAATTTTCATTACTAAAAGTTGTGCAAATTCAAACACATCTCATGTATATCAATGTATGTGTGGCTCACTAAATAAAATTTACACTATTTGACAATGTGTATGTTTGGTGCAGGAAGATACAGTGAATAGAAGACATTTTGTACTCAGAGAAGCAATGAATACAGCCCTATTATAAGAAATCTTTTGCCACCAATTCTGTGTTTGACAAAAAGTCAAGAAAGGTCCTGGTGATGAGAGACCTTATTGGAGTGAAAGATTTAGTTATAAAAATAGAATAATAACAAGAATAAAAATTAGAATGGCTTTTAAGGTCAGTATTTAATGAAAGGAAGTTAAAGAAAAGCAAAAGCATTCTGTTTAATGTA